AGTCCAGTTTTGGACATATTGAGCTCAAGATGTCTATGAGACACCCACTTCAAGATGTCTAACTGGCAACTGAAGATATGAGATTGGAGATCAAGAGAGAGGTTAGAGTTGTTCAATTGGATCTGAGAATAATCTTCATAGAGATGATGGTTGCATCCGTGGGAATTGATGAGGTCACCATCAGGGGAGAAGAGAAGCAGGCCCAGGGTAGAGCTTTGGGAGGAACACTTATGGTTAGTGGATGTGATTTGGATGAAGATCCAAGGAGCAAGAGGAGAATCAGGAGAGAGTTGTGTCATGAAGACCCAGAGAAAAGAGGATCCAGAGGAAGAGGGTGATTGACAGTGTCAAAGCCTGCAAAGAGGTGAACAAAGGGCTGAGGATTGAGGGAAGACCCTTACATTTAGCAATTAAGAGCTCGCTGGTAACTGGGGAGAGCAGAGAGCAATCTAGGATCCAGCTTGGTTTGTGATTCTTTTCCCCACGTCTGTACCACTCTGAGATAGCCTTGTGGAGTAAATCGGGAGTCACAGGACCTGAGTTTTAATATTTGACTTCTTAATTTCTGAGCTCTCAAGGAAGCATAAAGCAAAAAATTTGGTGGTAGGGGGAGGGGAACTCATGCAGTATGGGTTCCTTGGGGAACCCAATGCCTGCCTAGTGTTTTATGTAATCTAGGTTCAAACCCCTACTTGTGATGACTGAGTACATCACCTATTCCCTGTGAGGAATTTGATTCTCCAAGCTGGCCGCCTAATAGTTCATTAAAAATAAAAGTTTGTCGTGGCTTTTCAGGAAATGAAGAGTCCTGTTTCTTGCAGGTCTCAGCAGCCTGCCTTATTTTGCATAGGGCTGCATCTTTAATTAGTGGCCCTTCTGTAAGTGTCTGCAATTAACGCAGTGATGATTAATAAAATAACTCCTTCGAAGTTCCATTTAGCCAGCAGAACTGCACAATCAGGTATAATTAGTTCATCATTAATAAATCATGGCTGATTAACTAATCCTTTGGTTGCAAGCACAGTTATGGGAACAGCCACCCCACCTGAGCACGGCTCATTTTTCTAAGCTGAACAAAATCTGGAGGCTAACAGGACAGAAAAAAAAAAGTAGCTCTTCCCAAATTGCATTAAGCAGCAAATGGATTGAGATGGTCAGAGACACTTAAAGATGATGCCCACTTACAGGTCACTGAGCTGTATGAGCACCTGTCACTTGGGAGGGAAGGAGACTTGAGATTAGATCTGGGTAGATTCTACCCCATTCAAAGACCCTGGGGACTGTTTTCCTGGTTCTTAGAATTGTTTCCAAATTCTCTGTTTGGACGTTGAGGGCTTCAGAGAAAGGGAAGTAAAATGGCACAACTGGAAAAGGGATAAAGAAACTCTAGATGGAACGCAGACAGGACTTGAGCATTCTCACTGCCACACCTTTGCTCTGGCCATTCCATCATCTGGAATGCCCTCCCTTAGTCCTCTCCCTCTATCTGAAGGCCACCCCTCAACACTCAGCTCAGGTCCTGTCTCTCCTTTGCAAGGGTATCCCTAAATGTCTCAGCCCATAGAGACATCTGTGGACTCCTAATTGTTGGTTCCATTTGTTTGACACCAATGATGTATAGCCTTCTCTGTGTGTCTGTCCCTTATATCCTCTGTCACAGTGTAAACTCTTCATGGGTCCATGCAAACTCAGAACCTCATACTCCTTTATGCTCGTTGCTGTGCCTTGTCCATAATCAGCACATAATGTATGTATGGTGTTGATTTTTTTGAGCCAATCTCACTGGACAAAACATCAGATCTCACCAAGTTTTGGTCACGATTCCTAGCACATAGGAGAAGCCTAATAAATGCTTATTTGACTGATTGATTGACAGTTCTACCCCTGACCTGTCGAATGACCTTGAGTGTTAAGAGGTGCAAATTAAAATTAGGGATGTATAGTGAAAAAATCCTTCCCCCATCTGAAAACCAGGCTAGACTTTCACCACCACATGGTACTGGTGATATCTCTCTAGGCAACTTGCTTAACCTTTATGAACCTCAGTTTCCTCATCTGTAAAATGAAGCAGTTACACTAGATGATCCTTCCAGCTTTAAATATGTGATCTTATGATCTTTGATCTCAACATCATTCTTGGACACCCCCCCCATGTATACAATAAACTCTCTCACATCTGTTCCCTTATCTGAACTCATAGGGCTGCCACCATACTGATTCAGGCTCTTATCACCTCCTTTTTTTTTTTTTGGAGGGGGTGTCAAAAATCAATAAGCATTTATTAAGCACCTCCTATGTGCCAGACACAGGTCTTTCTCTTTCTCCTTTCTTTCCTTCCTTTCTTCCTTCCTCTCCCCCCTTCTCTCTTTTTCTTGCTTTCTCTCTCTGTCTCTGGCTCTTCCCTGCTTTCTTTGCTTCTCTATCCCTGCTCCCCCTTGCCCTCCCACCCTCTCTCCACTACAAAAAAAACAAAACTAAACAAAAAACCAAAGCCCTTATAACAAATACACATGGGTAAGCAGAACAAATTCCCACATTGACGGTGTCTGAAAATGTGCCTCATCACCTCTTACCAGTACTACTGCTAATTGTTCTCCCTCCTTCTCCCTCCCTCTCTCCCCTCTTCAATCCATCCTTAGTGAAGCTGCCAAAGTGATTTTCCTAAAGCACAGATCTAACCACATCATTACCATACTCACCAAATCCTAGTGGCTTTTTATTGCCTCTAGAATTGATAAATGCCTCTGCTTTCACGTTTAAAGTCCTTCACTTCCTGGTCCCGTTCTATTTCCCAGTATTCTCATACATCACTCCACTTCATGAGCTCTGTGGTCTAGCCAGACTGATCTTATTGTTCCTCACTCATCTCTCATCTCCAAGTCTTTGCCCTGGCTGTACCCCGCTGGAATGCACTCCCTCCTCACCTCCACTGTTAAAATACTTTGTTTCCTTCAACTCAGCTCAAGCATCATTTCTACATGATGCCTTTTCTGATTCCCCCCATTACCTTGTATCGATTTTATGTACACACACACACACACACACACACACACACACACACACACATCTTTCCTGATGGAAGGTAAGATCCTTAAACCTGGGAGTTTCATTTTTGTTTGTATTCCTGGCACCTGGCATATAGTAGATGCTTAAACCATGTTTGTCGATTGAGTGGTCACTTAACCTCTTGCAGACTCAGTTTCTTCATCTGTAAAATGGTGATGTTAATACCAGTATCACTACCTCCCAGGGGATAGTGTGAAGATCACTTGAGAACAAGCACAGAAAAAGCTCTCCAAACTTTAAACTACTAAGTCCCCTGAAGTCCCCTCCTCTTTCCTCCCCTCCCCTCCCTTTCCTTCCCTTCCCCTCCCTTCTCTTTTCCTTTCCTCCCTTCCCCTCCCTCTCCTTCCCTTCCCCTCCCTTCTCCTTTCCTCTCCTCCCTTCCCCTCCCTTCCTCTCTCATCTTCTCTCCTTCCCTCCCCTCCCTTTCCTTCCCTTCCCCTCCCTTCTCCTT